AGAACGCTACAACGTGGTGACATCTTTCGTAAAACAATTCCTGGTGGTGGGTTATCCCCGACTTTGACCGTTGAAACAAACGACCTGTTCCTATGCGAGGTAAGTTTATTATTACGGTCTTCCGTTAATATTAATTCCTGGATATTTTTTAACATACTCAATACTGTATCATCTTACAGAACCATTATTACTTATTGCGTCACAACATACATTGCATGTGTTTTTTTAAGTGTTTCTATATTATTTAGACATTCGATGTTGGATCTACAGTACTTTATAATAACAATATCCCATGTTTATAATACCATACGTTTTTATTACTACAGTAATAATAATATACTTAAGGCTATAGTTTCTTCCACAACCATATGCGCAAAAATACAGTTAAACTGTATGCTAGAATAGGCCTATTAAATACTTTATTAAGTGCCTATTTCTCCGGTTTTCAGATAAGGACTGCAATAGGTATCGCCGTGAGATATGAATTCATCGCAGAGGAATCTATTGGCGGGATTTATTCAAGGAGTGACGAGACAAGGGAGGAAGAGGAAATTGATGTAGTAGGTGAGGCACACCAAGGACGCAAGAAACGACAGAAGGTCAGCGTGGAGAAGCCGGTGGGTAAAAAAATACTATTAAACTGTTTACATGTTCTTTAAAACTCAATACTCAAGAAACATTATGAACTTGATACCATATAAAATCAATTTAATTCTGTTAAATATAGCCCTATTATTATTGTTATTATTATTATTATTGGATTGTTTTAATAATACAAAAGATTCACAAATAGATACACATCGTAATGTGAATATTGCTATATAAATCTAAATAATAATTATTATTTACTTTTTACTGTATCATTATTACTATTATTATTATTATTATTATTATATATTATTATTATTATTATATTGTTATTATTACTATTATTACTATTATTATTATATTGTTATTAATGATTATAATGTTGTCTGTCATTCTTACTACAGGCTGCAAAAGTATTAGACACGAGGAAAGAGTTGTTTGCTGAGAAAGTGAGAGGAGAATTTGATTTTGACTTCGTTGATTTGGAAGGCGACGACCAGGAAATAGAGCAGATGAGTGATGACTATGAGTAGACAAGTGGGAAGAAAACACCAGACTGCACAGGCGAGTGGAGGGTGACCGAGAAAACAGCTGATTGTTGCGCAGCGCTAGCTGAACGAGTTCGCATACTCGAATACAAAAACGCTCCGACACCAGCTTGTCCACCACCTTTTGCACTGTCGCAACTACCCACCGCGACTCTTGAACCGGAGACCCCATCACGTCCAGTTGGGCCACCACAACCACCAACAACGACTCATGCAACGGATACGACCCCATCACGTCCAGTTGCTCCACTACGACCACGACGTCCACTTTATAGCGAAGGACTTCCGAGAGAGATAATGATGAAGTTACTATGCGACCAAGAGCACACAAAAAAAGTGTCAAAGCACCCGCTTGCTTATTTTTTCACAGATGAAGAACGGTTGCACTGCAACGTAGCGGAACGCGAAATGTAGACATGGAACGCGAAATGTAGACACTGTCTTCTACCAATGCGAATTTTAATAATAGGCCTGGTGTATTTTAATGTAATAATGATGTACAGTATAATGCAACATGTATTTTCAGTACTTTAATAAGGTCTAATTAATAACGTATTAATGTGTTTTGTGATAAAATATGAAATAATGTAAGGCAATGGTTTTGTGTGAATAAAAAAAACACTATGAACTGATATGGTTTCAAGTTTATTTTCGGGTTTATCTGTCAAAGTGAATGACTGTTGATGATTACCAGTATTTAATAATATAGGAAGCAATGCTATATCGAATCTCTTTTGATCATTTTAAAGCCCTGAAAAGGGCTGTTTGGTTTGCGATGACGTTGGCTAATGATAAGTATCCAGTGGCTTTGCCTCTCCTTCTAACGTTGGCTGGGATGATCTTGCGCAAGTGACTTACATAATTATGACGTAAGTCAGGGTTCATCGTCTCCGACCAAAATGTCTTGATACCATCGATGAGCTCATCTTTGGTGTGTGGGGCTTGTGCACCTTGCGCAGATAATCTTTCAGCTGGTGCCATACCAGTTCAATTGGGTTTAGGTCGGGACTTTCAGCGGGAGTTTTCCACCAGTAGATGTTGTTCTCTATCAGGTACTGCTTCGTAGCATCAGCCGTATGTTTGGGGTCGTTATCTTGGATAAAACAAAAACCACTGGGGAAGTAGGTGCCAGCAAATGGTTTTACGGCCGCATCCAGAATGGATTTAATATAGAATTCCGTTCGCATTACGCCATCTAATATGACGATTGGCAGGGCCGCTCTTCACGACATACCCGACCAGAATTGAAGTTCGATGGAGTGCTTGGGTTTCAGCTTTAATTTGCGTGGTTCATCTAATTTTCTGAATGTAATTCTCGCATGGTGGTCCAACTCCACGGTACATTCATCCGTGAAAATTACATTGTGAAATGTTTCTTTGTTTCTAACGCAAGCCACAACATATCTCAAACAATTGACTTTATTCGGTGTCCTGATTAGCTGCGCATTCCATCACACACCCATCGCAACTTTCTCCTCGTCTTCTTAATAGTACTTATAGACATGAAGTTCTTGGAGCTCCCTGCTGTCCTTACATCATTCTCCGTCATGGTTTCGTCAATGATGTCTAATGGTGAAAATGGTGTTTTAGACATTTCCTTCGATTTCGATACAGCTACTGTATACTGTAAACATGATATGCGATAATCTAATGGTGAATAGGCCTACAGTACTGCTTTTCATTATACCCAAGTATAGTTTATTACGTCATTCCACCCACCCTTCATATTTAAAATAGGCAGGCCCCATTGTACACTGGAAACTCTACATTATACCACCTAAGGGACCAGCAAACATTTTCAACATTTATATAGGTCTGAATCTGATGGTTTAATTTCAATCATAATAGAGTACATGTAGGCCTATTTTTTGTTTTAATGAAATTTGGAATAATAAATAAATAAAATGAAACGCGAAATAAAAAGATGGTGCATTTAGATGAAAGTGCCAACACATAGGCCTAACTGTATTTGATTTTGGTAAATACAACCACAGATAAAATTTGTGGTACAAAAAAATGTTTCAGGAGGTTATTACAGTAGGTTGCGCCGCGCTTATAGCTACTGACTGGTTAGGCCTATATACAACAATATTTGGTTTGAGTGATTACAAAATCAAAATATTAACATCGATATATTTATAGTTTTAAACACGCACGATCGCTCATTTTAAGAAGTATCCCGGTGTAAGTTAATGTCACTGACTGTTAGTTTCTTGATTTTATATTTAATTTAGAGTTCATATTTTACATGTTGTGTCATTCCTTAAGTGGCGATGTTTCGCTGTTGGCTTGGAAATAAATAAATAAATAAATGTATTATCAACAGGATTGTCCTGCTTTTATTTCTGTAGAGTGCATAATTTTGTGTTAATCCTTGTGGCAATTTTTCACTGTTGGTTGCCTTGGAAATAAATTATCAGCTGGCAATGCAGAGTACAGTGTGCGCAACTTCGCGTTACCAACGCGCCAGGTTTGATTCAACTGCATTCACAAGTTACTTAACTTTTTTTTCGTTAGCAACAACAGGCCTTTATACACTTCAACGCAGCATTTAGGCGATGCGACACAATAAACCGTTTTGTTAACTCATTATTAAATTACACTGATTAAATTAACAATGTTCGTGTGATTAAATTTTTTTCGGAGTTCTATTATGTTATTTCGTGTATATTCCAGACTCCGTAAGAATTATTTCTGTTGCAATTAATTCTGGGACAATCGACAGACTGGACTAGTTGGCAACGTTCCAAAAAAGGTCAGCTGACGCACCAGTCAAATGACATATTTGTTTTTTTACAGACAATAAAGAAAGAGAGCCAGAAATAACTTTGGTTGTCATGTTTTTTTAAATATCATTAAAGATGTTAGCAAATATATAATGTGCAGTTTAATTTAACATACATAGTATTTAATCATTGAGGTATATTTTATGGTACTACTACTACTGCATAGTTTAAATATATTATAGGGAAGTACTTCCAACGAACCATGTGCTCTTGAGCGTCGATGGGTTCACGCACGTCACACACTGTTTGTATAACTTGAAAATGGTACACTGCGAGTTATTACAATGGAGAAGTATTAATTTAAATAATTCTTTTTATTATCTTCAAAGCACAACAATAACAACATAATTTATATATTTATATTTGAGAATTTTATTGGCCAGAAGATAACGAAAATCAACTGAAACTTCGTCAAAATAAGAAAGTAAATATCGTGTTAATTTAACTACAGTAGCTAGCTGGCCTAGAGGTTGCGTCTGGGGTTGATTGAGCGCATGGTTGGTTGACAGTATGGATGTAGAAGAAAAAAAACGCAATTTCGAAGCATGGTCGATCCAAGATAGGCCTAATTTTAGCACCCTTTACATAACTATCTGGTCATACTGGACTGTTTGTTTAAAATAAATGATAAAATTGCTATCAATAAACAATGTTACATCTTGGAACCTGTGCTGCAAGAACTATTAACACTCCGACAGCTTGCGACCCAGCCTCGTAGCTAATTAAAATAACAATGACCTTCGTAGTGGTTTGTAGCTACGCTCCAAATGGTACCTACGAAACAGGTTACGAGTGGTTGCGCACAGATACGAAGCGATATTTCCTCTCTGTACTGTATGTGTGCAGGGTTCATGAATCGACTCCAAAAGAAAAGGGGGTGGGTGGGGGGTCCTCCCCTAAATAAACTGATTTCTAGATGGCAGGAAATTTATTTTTAAAATAATTTAATTAGGGTTTTTTTGTTGTAATTAAAAAAATTATAATGTTTATTCTAGCTTCGAACCAGGTCAAATGTTATCCCACAAAGCATTTTACAATGGACATGAAATTCATAATAAGAACAAATTTATTCACTCACCATTCAGCATAATTAACAAGCATGAAACAAGAAAGCAACATTATAGCCATTGAGCTGAGCAGGATGAGTCCACTGGTTTGCTGAGATCTTCAGAAGTGCATATTGCAATGTTCAGCCTTCTACAGAATTTTTACTGAAATAAAATACATAACATTCATCAAATAAACAGAATTATAAAGAATACAACATTAATATTTAAATGTATAATATCTGAGACAACTACTGTATACAAGGAAACGCGACTGGATTCTATTGTTCTCTAGTTTGTGATGTCTTGTGCTTCATTGATATGCAAATAAGGTTGTTCGAACCGCAAGCGGGCAACTTCCACACACGAGACAAGCGGATATTTTCGTGGCGGTATTGGACGTATAATATTTTTTTTTTAATATTTAAACTTTTATGGCAATTTCTTTGAAAGGTAAGATACATAAACACATACATTAATATATATTGCAGTTTAAATGTCTGAAATTTATGGTATATGTGTACATAAGGCTACAATAAGCTTGTAATTCGGCAACCCCTACCCCCAGCCGTCTAGGGCTAGGCCTAACCGGGTCCCGACACTCAGTAAAACGCGTGAATTGAAGAACACACTAAATCCATTGTACAGTTTACATACATTTAAGCACATATATGTTCTGAAATCATTTACCACAACAGAAATAATATTTTTGTGTGTACCAGTAGTAAATCATGTTCAGAATCAGAGAATATGTACATACAGTCCCAGGCCTCAAATTTGGGGATTTTATGGGCAAGGCCAAATGGCCTCCGGTATGACATGATTTTGAAAGGCACCAAGGCCAAATGGAAAGGCACCAAGGTCAAAATTTCAAGTATAAAAGGGCACCCAAGGCAAAATTTGATTTAGCCTCAGTACTAATTTCTCGCGAGTGCCTTGATTCGTCGTAGCCAGGCTAGGCAAGCTAGGCCTAGGCCAGCTAGGCCTAGGCCAAGCCAAGCTACTGTAGGCCTAGCCAAGCCATAGTTGTCAATGGTAATATGACTTTGTTTAGAGTATTAACTATTAATTATCGATTCAACGTTGGAATATACTGCGGCGGTCGGCGATCGTACAAAACAGCCAAATTTCGATATATTTGTGTTGTTGCTCAGTCTGTCGTCATCGGAGAGGAAGCCACAACTCTAAACTGAGTCCAAAGTTAGCTGTGCAGCAAGCACATGTTTACTGTACAACTATACAAAGGCCATATTCGACTGGTCGTTCTTCGTTAAACCACGCCCACTCAACGAAGACGACCAGTCGAATAGAAAACTTGTAAATACTCGACAAAACAAAATGACTGTATAGACCGCGATACACGTTGCGTAATTTAAGATTGCTTAAACTTGTGGTAGTATGGGTTTTTCGTTTAAAAAAATATTTTCATTCAGTTTTTTTTATTCTGTTTGCCTACAATAATTTTTTGATTCCATGTGGGTATATTATAATGTTTATTTTATGAAATTTTATCTAAGTTATATTAACGCAAATGTTAACTTCCTCGAGGGTCAAAGTGCGGCGTATTTCCTAACTCGTCCTCAGTGAGGAGTTCAAATCTAGTTTTTCTTTGTTCTTGAATATATTTTCCCTATCTTTTGCACTGCTTTTTTCTGGCCGTCACTTTGGTCACTTCCTATGCTTAGAATTTTTCCGTACTTTGCCAAAGCATAGGCCATATATCAAGGATGTGTCTCCTAATATTTATTGTCAATCTATGGTGAGATATGTGTGTGAGGACCAATTAAAGTGATTTAAGGTCAAATAGTCTACATTTTCAAAAACCAGTCAGTTGATCTGAATGAAAGTTTAATCAAGTTACAAGGAAGAAATTTTACATGTCAGTGACGATCCAGTGAAGGGTGTAAATTTGAGCGTCTTTTCAATTTTTGAGGACCCAGACCTAAATATCTCTTTAAAAAAAAACCAATGGGTCTAACTTTTTTTTTGAAAATGGATCAACTGAACTGAATGAAACATTTGGAAAAAGTTTAACCAAGTTACAGGAGGACAGTGTTATGTGTTGGCGACGAATCAGTCAAGGGTGTACATTGGAGGGTCATTTAAATTTTTGAGGTCCCAGGCGTAAATATCTATATTTATATGTTTTCAATGGGTGTAAATGTAACTTTCTATAATAGTTTGTAAAGGTCCAGTAAAGAAATTACTTTATTTTTGTGATGATACGGCGTAGGGTATGAATATAAGGACCATTTCAAGGAAAATGTCCCAGACCAGATATTTCAAAAATGGGTCAATTGATCCAAATTAAACTTTTGGGAAGGTTTAACACAAGTCACAAGGAAGATATTATTATGTGTAGGGGACGATCCAGGTTAGGGTGTAAATTTGAGGGTCATTTAAATTTCCTACGTCCCAGATACAGATGAATAAAAATGACACTTTGAAGAATAGTTTTTCATGGTGAAATGAAGAAATGATCCATTTTTGGTGACGATTCGCATTAGGGTGTGGATATTATTATTAGGACCATTTAAAGATTTTTTGCTGACAGTTTTATTAAATTTGCGTTTTCTAAAGTGCTTAAACCAGTTATTGCTAGGTTAAACTCAAAACTACTGTGATATGCATGAACAATTTTTGACTTTCAGTCATTGAATCGCTATGTAATTTCAACTTCATTTCTCATTAAAGCAATGGGGAAAAGCCCTATGTTCTGTTTTCATTTATCATTAAATCAATGGGGAAAAGCCTTATGTTCTGTTTTTTAAACAGACATAGTAAGTCTAGTTATTATTACTATTATCTTTATCACTTTA